TACGAATCGGGGAATTAAGAAATTAGAGCGGTCATACAATTGGGGTATTAGTTGGACCAACGGGCGTATCGGAAGTGGGCCAAATCGCAGTCCAAGGTCGTTTTCTTACCGCACCGCACCGCACGCATTACCGCTAAATGCGTACCACGGTTGCCTTGTAATCGTATAAATCTCCTTTTCTCCTCAAGTTATATCAGCGTATTTTGGAGATGTGGCAAAAATTCATGTTGCATTTGATGCAGTGTGCATTTTCTTACACCAAAGGCTCAGATTTACATCCTCAGTTCCAGGCTCTGTTGTGTTTTTCAATTCACCAACTTGCACCTGCGGCCGATGATTGGTTGAAGTATCTGATCTTCAATTATCATAAGAAATATTTAGCATTTGCCGACCAGATTGGCGTTATGGTTCAGAGCATCTGGTTCTGAGTCCATTGATCCCGGGTTCGAATGTGGCCAACAATTATGCACGGTAATGGCAAATGGATCTGCGGACACTGATTCCACTCCGGTTTTACACCAAAAATTATGAAGAACCTTTTGATAACGATCAGAAAAAAGGTTCGAAACAAACTCGTCAAGGTAATGATTCAGTTTGATTGTACTGCAAAAGTGCTTTAATTGACGAACTAAAAAAACTCCGACTCAACCGATGCGAGACTTGAAAATACTAATTAAAGTTGGCAGCATCTAAGCGAAGTAAGCTCTCTTGAGTTTATATAATTTTCAAGAGGAAATAAGAATTTTGTAACAATTTTGCCTGAAAAACGAATTTTTCACCTTTTTTTATTCCAATCAAATATTTATCACGAAAGAGAGAACGGCGTAACTTTGAACGTTGTAATCTCTTCATATTTTTGTAGGTTCAAAATTATCACAGAATCACATGAGAATTCAAAATATATCCTGTGCATGGCAGCTCTGGAGGCGTGGTACTTTGACAGCCTCGGGTGCGGAGGGGCAATAGAAAGGGTCATGATCTCTTCAGCTAAATGGCCCGAGGGTGTAATGATATTGCTAGGAATGTTTCCACAAACCACTTTGCGTGGATTTTTAGACCTCGTGCGCATAAGCCAGAACTGTATGACCTAAAAAAGTAAAACCTCGTGGCTGGGGTTCCTCCACCATTCACATCATCAGTGTCTTTGTGTTAGTATCCTCTAATGACGAACGTTTATAAATATACCGCACCGATTATTGGCCATGACTATTATTATTAATTAAGATTTCATATGAAACATATTCAAAATCGATAATTACAAAACTCGCAGTTTTTTCCCTTGGTGAGGGATCGATCATGCCACCTTGAACTTTGCCTCGTTTGATTTGACAACAACGCAAGAATGACAAGAAAATAATGAGCTCTCATGATCAAATCTGGGTCAAGAGGCACCCTCCTCATCTTCCCGGGTGCGACCCTGCTTTTCTGTAAACATTTCCGTTACGGGATCTCGCCAGGAAATGCAAGGCACTAACTTAAAATCTGATGTCGATATTATCGTTGAGACAAGTGTTTCTTTCTCCTGGAAAACTCACTCATCTTCCTTTGGGTCTTCACCCTCCATCAATCCACAAGGAGCCGAGTAATCTCAACTGTGCAGACCTCTGAAAAAATTAATTCGTGATTACTTCAATGAAATGAGACGAGGTTCAAAGTGAATCGTTGAATTAAAAATGAAAATGTGTCTTTTCTTACTAGAAAGCATTTGAGAATGAAAATTTTCAATATATCCTTGGTTTATTGGCTGAGCAAATGATGAAACGCAGTGGAATCGACGGTTGGGGAAATACACAGAGAGCAACACAAAAGTTTGGTTAATACGGGAGGTAAAACCTATATTACCCAGAAAATACCTAGAGTACAGACCCAGAAATAACATACCAGTCCCTCCATTGTTTTCTGCGCTAAATTCACCGCAAACTGCGCCAAAATCAACACAAAATTTGTTTTGGTTTGTGTTTCACTTGTGTGTTGTGTTATTTGTGTTCTTGTGTAACACAAGAACACAAATATTTTTATCAGTAAGGCAATGCTCGCTTTAGTTTCATGAGATTGGGCGCTTTAAATAAAATTATTTTTGTTGGTTTTTTAAAAGTTCTCAATCTTAAGTTATATTTAATACCGAAGTAAAGTAAATAGTAAAATGAGGTTATAAATCTGAAATTGTAAATTTAAGCACTAATATTCCAAAAATAAATCTCTAAGGTCTAATAGGTGAGTCCATTTGACTAAGTATTTTAAAATACAAAGCAAAGAATTAAGGTAATTGTGAGTCCCGGAAACCGATGTCTCCTATACCATCATGTGGAAGTTGGAAAAGTGTCGGCTGTCGGATCCACTCTTTATTTGGTAAATTTTTGACCGAAGACACCGCCTCTTCTAATGAAAAATTTCTGCCCTAGCTTATGCCTTTGATCTTCATTCTTGCCTACCTTTTTAATTGTTGTTGATCATAGGCGTGCAGCATAAGTGCACCAGATCTTAATTTGCGCCATTGCACGCCTCAGTTTCTGACATGTTTCATCCGATTGCTACAATTACACCAATCGGAGTCGACTTTACGTTACTCACGAAAACTGGGGCAGCGTAGACTTTACGCACAGCATTGAGGCGGCTATTTCCAATGCGTAGCATGTGCACCGTGAAACATCCTGTCCAAGACCAGCTGCATCGAGAAACATTTTCCACGGAGCTCGGAGCAACTCCCGCCAGAGTAATCGGATGATTACAGGGTTGCCGAATGGTCAAAATGATTCAGTGATTGTGCCCCTTGGATAGAGATACTTACCGGTTCTCTAGGGCACAGATACCTTAATAGAGATGACCGGTGGTTGAGAGAGTTGAAACTTATTTTACAGTTGGACAGCCCAAAGCCTTGGGAGCCTTCGGAGACTTTGAAAGATGTAAGGGCCTTTGCACTACCCACGTTGAACATTGCTGTCCTCATGCATGCCTTTTTTTTCAATCTTTGTTGGAACTATCTTGATTTTTGGATGTGTAGACTCACCATGGACACAGGCTGGTTTCACTCAAAAATTTGATTTTTTTTTATGTTAAAAACCTATCACAGTTGTGTTGAATTGTCAAAGAAAAAAATTTCAACATGTCTTCTAACTAAAAAAGCATCAAAAATCAAATAAAACCATTTTATAAAAATCCGTGTTTTTTTCATTTTTCTTTTAACACGAAAAATGTGTTGGGCCGTGAGAAAAAAGAACATAGGCGTCAACAGCTGAAATTTTGGGAAAAGCAAGGTAGCACTAGGTCAAAAAATGTCTTTCAACTGCCACTGGAAAATCATCAGCTATACTCTATCTACTCACCGAAATTTGGGTAAACTGCTTAAAAATAAACCCGAACGTTTACCTGAGAAAAATGAACGCAAAATTTTTTTTAAAAAAATCAAATTTCTAACTCCTAATTTTTTGGCAGCTGAGGCAAAGAAAATCGTACCCTGAAAAAAAGTCCGGCCGTGGAAGCCGTGCTAACGGGTTATATAGACATACCGTCCGTTCCGGGCCCAGAGGCCGAAAGTTCCAGGCGCACCACCCGCAGCAGTCGAGGCTACGGTTCCAGCACCCGGAACTTTCGGCCCATGAGCCCGGAACGGACGGTATTTCTATAAAGCCCGTAACTTATTTTTCAGTTTAAAGCGGAATTTTCCAGGACGATCAGGCACTCTGGATGGCTATTTTCGAGGCAAGTGATCTGTGCGACTATTAGATCTAAGTGTTGGAAATGCGGGGGATTTGGAGTACTCGCGGCGGCGGGCAGAGCCAGGATTAATTTCGACTGCGGGGCGGCGTCAATCTTCGGATGTTGCCTCACTCGTGGCCAGCTAGCGTCTCCGTCCCCTCCGCGGATCCCGTCTCCAGGACGAAACCGCCTAACTTCCGCCTGGAAACCGCGGCAGTTAGGATGGTTTTGGCAAAACCGTCTTCACAGTGCATGAGCAAGAAATATCCCGGTCGTTTCGACTACAGTGATATCATTTTTGTTTGGGTTCCCCCGGATCGATTGTTTCTTAATCTCAAACTGATCGGTAGAATCACGGATTTAGGGCATTTTCCTGCTTCGCTATGTATCATAACCGAGGATGATTACTCTCGTTCCAGGGTTATTAGAAATGCACTGACGGTAAACTGATTACTTTGATCTGATCATAAATTAATTTTTTCCCACCTCAAATATCCCCTCAGGGATAGTTTTACGCTCACAGCCCTTAATGTCCCATCCGACCTCAGTCCCTAATGAAGCCAGCCCCAGGTAACCGTTGTTTGAAACTAGGGTCACCTGGCCGGGATTCAGACCCGGGACCTCCCTATCATAGAGCAAGTGCTACAACCACAAGGCCGAGGTGTCTTATTCTAAAGGATTATCTCATGAACGAATGCAACCCTTGGTCAATTGGTCATGTGCATATAGGCTGCTGCCTAATAGGTTGTTCAAAATACACTGAGCTGAGTTCCTCGAGTTGCTGCAGACCTCTGCTAAGTCTCCCCGATTCTAGCAACTAGAGAAATATCGAAGTCGACAATCATTGAACTTTAAAGCGAGTAGGTCAGTAGGTGCTTAGTAATTTGGTATACTGGAATCTGAAACTGTAATAGGTTAACCGGCAGTGCACCTTATATACCCCGGAAAATTTAAATTTTTGATATCCTGTCCAAGTGGCACGCGGATTGCAATACGAGTAAACTGCGATAACATTGTGAGAGTATTTCCATTGCATTGGGGGTGCTGTATATGTTGTTGCCTATCTGTTTATTGAAGGGGAGCTTTTTATTGAAAGTGATTGAAATACATTTGAAATCAATGGGATTTTTTTTGCCTCTCTTTACTGACACCGATGATCTAGACATCGACCAAATGATGATTTACTGTTGTGACAATTGCAATTGAATCAAAGGAAGTTGCAAATTTTGCCGCAAAATCCTACTTGCGTGCTTGAGCAGGAAAGTTTCAATTGCTTTATCTACATCTTTGTTTCATTGTTTCAGGTGTTGGTCCTGTTGACCTGCCTAATGGCGTTATCAGTGAGAAGTACAGAAGTTGGCGTTCCAGAGAGGTTCCTGAAGCCTCGAAATTACAACCCGCATCCGTACGAAGATGCCATTCTCAGGAACCAAAACTTGCAACTGCAGGCACTCCAGTTGCAACTACCACAGGCGGCGGCGCCGTATGCGCTATTCCACAGGAAGCCAGCAAATGGTGACGTCACGACGCCTGTTCCTTATCCGATACCACCAGTAATTCTCAAACAGAAGCCCGAGAAATATAAATCAGAGGTGCCGTCAAAATACTCCTCGGTAAATACAAATATTTCATAACTAGTCTGAACATTGAATTTTCTCTATTCTGTTTATGTTATAATTTAATACTCTGACGACTCACAGACGCAGAAAAAGCTTAGGTTAATCAATGCCGTGGTCGAAAGGCCAATCTTCTAAATCTTAATAATGACCTATCGTACCAAATCAGAATTTACCTTTTTACGAGAAGATATATTCTTGCCGATCCAATGAAATGCCCACTTTTTCAATCTCGCAAAAAGAAGATTGGCACTGGTCAAAACGGGTGAATTTGCATGAAATCTAAAAATTGATTTTGAGCAGATTTTTAGCGCTGAATCTCGAAATGACCTCCGTTTGTCTGGATCAGCTCGATTTTTCTCGGAATGAAATTTTCCCTAACAATTAAGCTTTTCCAAAGAAAATTCATCTTTCTGGAAAATATGTGCACGATGGAGAAAATATAAGGCCATTTTCGGATTCAGTAGCCAAAATTACCCTAGAGAAATACCTTTTTTATGCATTTTAAAGTATCCTTCTTGTTCCTATAATATCAAGGTTTTTCCGGACAAGCCGCTGTAAAGCCGAAAACGACCTTAGTTTTCCTCCATCTTGCACAAATTATCCGGAAAATTGACTTATCTCTAAAATCGCGCTAACACAGAAAAGTGGAGGTCAATGTCGGAATCAGCGCTAAAAAAACGTCCGGGCACACGCTGACACATTGTAGGCAAATCTAACAAAAGGAAATAATTGTTGACCGGTGCTACTCCTGTATGAGTCGTAAACAAACCAGCGAGGAAGCAAAAGAACAGATTGACTCTTGCGACAGACAGCGGCCAGTGGTAGTAGCGGGTGGCGATGGTGCTCAATCTTGACCCGCTTGCTGAAATCCGCTTATTAAGGAACCCAATTTCCCATCCAGAAATCGGTGGCTACACCTGAAAGCGGTATTGCCTATACTAACAAACAAACCATTTAAATTTTTCCATTGAAGCCTGCATAGTCTAATAAAACATAGGAAAATATAATTGACAACACTGCGTGAACTGGGGCCCTGGCTCCTCGGCAAAGCGCAGCCGCAGTCGACCATCTGACTGGAGCAATGAGAGGTGTGCATTACTGCCGTGCTAAGGAAAAACGCCGTATGAGCTTTCAGGCGTTGCCAAATTTCCCTCGATAAAATACGAAATTCCTGGAAAACTTGTGGATATTTTTCTACCAATTTTTTACAGGATTCCAATCATAATTTAATCTATATCATCTGAAAATTTCAAAGGAAAATATTCAAAACTTTCCTTAAAAATAAACATTTTATTGGAGGAAATTTGGCAACTCTCGAGTGTTCATAAGGCGTTCTTCCCTAACACGGCAGTATACAACTGCACTTGAAAGTTGACCTCCTAAGCCCTGGCTTGCGCCAAGCTTCCAACCCGGGCCCGCACCCGTGACCCCCCACCCCGAGCCATGCGGTCGAGGGGGGTGGAGTGGGGCAGAGGTCAACTGCATGTGACCCGGCGACACGACTCTGTTGCCATGAGCGCTCCTGTTATCAGAGGTGCCGGCCTCATTTGGAAGTAAGAGAAATAACCATAAAAACTAATCCAAATACAGAATTGAAATTGATACATGAACCATGTCAGTTATGAGTTTCTTAGCGTCACCGATTTTCTCGTCTTCGAAACATCGAAGGGTGTGAAAATCGTTACTTTTTACTGCTAAGTCACGAACATCGAGGTCAAGTGAAGCTTTTGTGTTCTCCTTCTACTTTTCCCTCTTCTTCTTCTTCTTCTTCTTCTTCTTCTTATTTTTCTTATTTTTCCTTCGACTAAGGTATATGCCCTGCTTGTCCAACCATTACTTTATCAGACGCGTATACAAGTGCTAAAAATACCAGTACTAGTACTAGCACTAATACTTGCTAAAAATAGATCACATATAGCTTAAATTTCTCTGTTTTAGGTCAAAACTTGTAAGCAGTGATAAAAAAAAGTTGAAAATTATGATATGATATGGTACGGGTTAAAAAAGAGGGCAAATAAATGGAATTTACCCGAGCAATGGTGATAGTATGCATGACAGTGGAGGAGCCAAACAAAATGCCCTCCTCAATTCCTCATTATTAAAAGCTCATTACATGCAGTGACGTATATTTGACAATTTGACACGTTGGGTTGTTAGTTGTTAGCGCTGTGCAGAAATTGCGCCCTCATCCTATTGCGAATGCAACAAGGACAGCCATTGAGTAGGAATAATTGCATCCTCGTTTTATATGTTACCGATGAAGTCAAGCACGCATTACGCGTCCAAAGTCCGAGATCGGACACAAATTGAGACCCACCACTTGTATCCTGACAATGGCGGAAATTTTTACTTTGGGGGATTTAAAACCTCCTTAAAATAAGTAATAGGTTAGCAACAGGATCCTTTCCTTCTTGTTGGTTGAAAGAGAGCACGAAGTACATCCAACAAATTTACTAAACATCAGCTAGTTCACCAAAGAATATATTAGATTACTTGTATAGGAAAAGTATGGCCTCATGCTTCCAGGACTTCATGTCCACCTACCTTTCGTTCATTAAATAAATGTCCACCGCTATTTGTGTCCACTAAACGTTAAGTCCAGTCTTTATTAAGTCCACATGATTTAATGTCCAACCATGACATGTTATGTCCACATTTTTTTCTTCTCATTTAAATGACAGGAACCACCTCAAAAATAAATGCATACTACTACTACCACCTTCATTCTTAAAAACATTTCATTCATGAATCAAGTCATGAAAGAGAACAGACTCTAAGAGCAGATAAAAACATATGTTCATGTGTACACTGTACGAAAAATGCCAAATTAAACAGTAGAAGATGTAGTCAAAATTGAAAGTAATCTTTAACTAGTTATTTCGTGCGCATTCAATCTTGTAGGATACTGCGCAACGCGTCTGATGCGAAATAGTTCCTTAAAGCGTTGCGGCGCGGCAGGCAATCAGCGTGCCCGCGCATAGGCGCTTACAAACCTAACGTGATACTTCACGCGTTGCGCAATGCGTGAAGTATCCCGTTAGGTTTGTAGGCGCCAGTGCGCGTTCTGCGCTGCTAACACGCCGCTCCGCTCTGTGTTAGGCTCTGATATTCAAACTCGCGGAGTCAGCGTTTTTCAACTCATAATTTTGAAATGTTTGCACTCTCTGCATTGATCTATCTAATCCTAAAATGATTAAAATGATTCTTAAAGTAGGGTATCTAATCCTAGTTTTTGAATAAAATTACACATTATATTATCGGTAAAAATTTTTATACTTTAAAAATTTCACTTAATACTTGACACAGTATTCAATTGGACGTATTTTTGTCAAATGGAACTAAGCGCCATGGAAAAGCATTGCATGTATAGGACGGAATGAGCCAGAGCCCGACGCCCGGTTCCGCCACCAATCCAAGCCCCTCTCTACCTTCCTCCCCCTATGGCGCTTAGTTCCGTTTGACAGAAATACGTCCAATTGACATTCATATCACTCGGGTTCACTGGGCGCTTCATAGACTTCGGAGTGAAATACACAACGAATTGCACTCGAATGTTGAAAAATGAGACCGGAAAAGCGGCAACGCGGCGGCTCAGCGTGAAGATGCCGACAGCTGAATCACGCCCCGAACCTCCCCCGTTTGAAGCGGGAGTGTGAGCTTAGCCCTCCCCCTGAGCCGGGCATAATCAGGCTCCGGGCTCGTTTCACAATAATTAGCCGTGCGAATGAGCATACGGGTAAATATGAGCTCTGCATCGGATTTGCCGCGGTTGATGTAATTTTTAATCTCCCCGCCCCGATCGCCACCGCATCGCGCATCGTCTGGCCGAGCGAGTCGGGGCACAGAGTTCCCTCCGCTCATTACGGGTGCACGACTTGACCAAAAACGATAAGGAACAACTGAACAAGGGACGCACGGAGATGCCTCTTGCGGTGGCATGCCATGCCGCGCCGTAGCAATTAATAGAACATGCGCGGTAGCTGGTCAGTAAACATGTGTGATGTTATTATCGAACTCATTGTGAATCAGATTAACCTAGATAAAACGTGCACGGTCTAGAGGAATGTTAGCGCCTAGCGGTTAGTAGGATTTTGATTTATATGATTCCTAAAAAATAAAGTAACCATCACACTGGGTGAAAAAACAACGTAAAAGTTAGGTTACAAGAGGAAGTGAAACATGAAGTCCATGAATTTCCCGGTTTTTTCATAGTTTTTGATCAGTGCTAAATTTAACTAAACCTGTATTTGAGTTAACCAAAGAAGAGTAATATTTTTCTCAAAACACTAAGAGCGACTACTCTGAAAATAAAATTTCAACTGAGGGGCTTGGAGGACAAGGCGCACAAGTGCAGTTTTTAGAAAAATAAAGATACTAATGATTTCAAGTAAAACTAGTCTTGATGCATATTCTGTGAAAAATTCACTCCCAAATTCCAAGTTTGAAGCATCAAAAAGTCAGTTTGAACTTTATAAGGATCATAGATTATAGTCCTCATAAGGATCCATGTAATTTTGAAACTTTATAAACACTTCTTTCTTGAAATAGCAAAAACTCAACTTATGCGCCTCGTCCTCCAAGCCCCTTAACTGGGTAGTTGTATGCAGCCGGGATTTTAGATCTGATGATTGTTCCTGGCAGAACTTTTCGCGAAAAACCCTTTTTCGTATTTGCAAGTTCCGAAATTCAGTCGAAAGCTCCGAAAAAGCCCGGCAAAAAGCCGCAAAATCGGGGTAAAAAATAAACTATCTCCATTGGCTGTGATGTCAGTTGGTATACACACATTTACCATCTCACTTTTTTTACCAATTATTGGTAATTTTACCAAGACAGACTGGTAAGGTTACCTAAAACCGGTATTTTTACTGTTTTTCTCAGGTAAGAATACCACTTTTATTGGTAATCAATTCCCGGTAACTCTGCCATTTTATCTCGGTAATTCTACCTCTGTCATAAAAAATATTGGCGTTTTTACCGGGGTCCAGTAAAATTAC